ATTAGTCTGTGTGCCAAAATCGCTGATTTTTTGGAGTATTAATAACAGCATTCACTCATTTATCTTCTACCATGTTTCCAGGACCATGGGGCAGCTGAAGCCAATCCCAGCAGTCATCGGGTGAGGGCGGGGTTACACTCGGGGTCACATACAGAGACCATTCACACACACCCATTCAAGTGACTGATTCTCTTTGTTTGGCCTGTGGGAGGGCACACACACCAGTTTTCAGCCAATGACATCATCATTTTCTGGGCCAGTGTCCTAACAGACGTGTCTTCATCATCGTTGTTGTTGTTGTTACTGTTGTTGTTTTCCAGGACACACCTATGGAGGCGGAGTCAGAGACGGCAGGAACAAAGACAACGGCGATGTCGTCATCTGAACCTGTGAAGATGGAGCCCTCTGACGTCTCACCTGTCGTCGCTCCGATGTGCTCCACCTCTGCGACTCCTCCCTCAACACAAGCACACGGAGATAAAGCAGAAGCAGCTGAGGCTGGTACTGTGTCACTGCTGTTCAGTCCTGCAAATGTTTTTTAAGATGAAACAAGTCCTTTATTCGTCCCACAATAGTGAAATTCACAGAACGTGGACTTTTAAGGACTTGATGGTTCTCTAGAACTGAGCCAGAACGGTGGGCCTGCAGTCTGGGCTTCACATCATCAAGTCAGAAAACCAAATTCCAAGTTCCTTCTCCTCAATTCTGAGACAGACAAAAACTAAAAAAAGTAAATAATAATAATTCGAACTATACTGATCCCATATTTGGGAACTTCTTGTGTTAGCAGCAGATATACTGTTAACACACCAAGCATGTGGCTCCTCTGGGAATCGAACCCCGAACCCTCTCTGCTTCAGAGGCAGGCTTTCTAACCGCTACACCATGGAACCGACTAAACGCATTTAAACTTGAGCTTTTGTTCAGTTGGCTCCACAAATGGGTTAAAGTTAACCTAACCCAGGTCTGAACCTAAGTTTATGAAACCAGAATAACAAGAGTTCACGTTTCTTTTTTCCAGAAACGTCTTTGATCGTCACAGAGACCAAACTCCCTCCTCCGTCCCCCTCACCAGCCGACCCTGCTCTCGTAGTTTCAGCTGACCTTGCCTCAACCACCGACTCCGCCACCCCAGCGGTGGTCCCCGCAGCAGTTACTGAAGTCACCTCGGATCCCACGGCGGCGGAAACTGGTACCGTGTCTGACTTCCTGTGTCCACCGGTAACGCACTTTACTTGTCACAAATTTCACAAACTTCTTTTTTATTTACAGGAAGTCAAGAGGACCAATCACAGGAGACTGTAGAGGCTACGGTGCAGACCAAAACTCCCATCTGCCCTTCCTCTCCCCTCCCTCCTTTTGACCCTATGAAGGCTGTCGGTACGAGTCCTTTTGTTTGTCCTACACTTCCTGCGGCTGTTTCTCACTTTGCTGCAGGACTTTTCATGTTTCAGCGATTATGTCTTTAATTCTGTTTTTGTCCAAACATGACAACATTTAAATGTGTTGGAGAAGTTGTTCACACCTGAATCGCTGCGTCCCGTTCCTCAGGTCTGGAGTTCTTGGTTCCAAAGACTGGGTTTTTCTGTAAGCCCTGTAATCGCTTCTTCAGCGGAAGTAAAGCCGCAGAGATGACTCACTGTAGAACCCTCAAGCACTACGAGAACCTAGAGGTGAGAACCTGCGTCTTAAGATCTAGATCTAGATCCAAATCCCAGGACTGGTCCACACATTGTGTCTTCTTGTCCTCCCGTAGAAATACCTGGAGACCATGAAGACGGCGGTGAAGCCCAAAGCTGAGCTAAGCTGAGCCCCGAACCCGAGTCCTGACCCTAACCCTAACCCTATGGTCATCTTTCAGTTTATCGTCTGTGTCAAACTCTGATTTAATAAAAACGTCTCATCTAAACTCTGTCTTCTGGTCTTTGATGGTAAAGCTGCAGTCAGAGTTGCTGTTTATAGTTTCAGATATTTGTTTATCTCATTTGGTTTTTGAGTGAAGCGACAAGTGGGCGGAGCTTCAGTCGTGTTAACCAGGCTTAACAGTTGCTTCTGATTACAACAGGGTGCCATTTTTTTTTAACACCCTTTATTTCCTGCTGTTCTGTCACTCCACATGTCTTCACTGAGTTGTTGCTGTGGCCACCGTCAGACAATAACGCTGAACCAACAGGTCAGACTGGTTAGGTCTGCGGGGGGGGTGGGGGGGGAGGTGCAGGGCGGAGTCAGTAGCTCTTCAGCATCAGGAAGAGAAGGAAACACATGCCAGGGTAAGGAGCAGGGAGGAAGGACGGAAGACTTCAGTCTGAACAGGTGAGAAAATCAGACAGAAATGATAAGAAACAAGATTTTTTTATTTATTTTTTTTTTAGATTAAAAACATTTTTACGCAATTAAAGCAAGTGGTTTTGTGTGCATGTGTGAGAGAGCGAGAGTTCGTGGGTGGAGGGGGTGTCTATGAATATTTGTTTTTTATAAAACATTTTGGGTGAATTTGTAGTTATAAATATTATTTCTTTTTTGTTTTTTTTCCCCCTATAATTGTGTTGTTCCTGCTCCTCTATAACCTTTACAAGTTTATTCCTGGGCTCCGCGGTGTCACGTAACACACTGTCATCTGTTTTTTTCACCCTAACACCAATTATAATAATGATACTAATTGTTCTAGATGACTGTGTTTTGTGCCCTGTGAACTAGAGAGTGGCACTGCCGAGTTTCAGAGATACAGTTCATTTGCAGAGATTAAATCCGATGAAATAACAATGTATCAAATTGGGGTTAAATGAGTGAGAAGATGCAAAGAGGTCAAAGGTTAAACCACAGACTAAGTCTTATTTTTTAATAGGGACCACAAACCAATTGGCGACCGGGCAGATGTTGTTTCACCTTTTTTTATGTCTCATGTTTATCATCATCCAGACATTATTAATCACAGACGCATACAGACTACAGACAGGACGGTCAAATAAAGTAAAGATGTGAAAAGTGAAAAAATGATCAGATTGTACTTGGATTAAAATAGCAGTTCATAAATATTTTCATACCCTAGGAGCCAGAAATATTTTTTACACCCCCGAATTGAAATAGAGAACCTGATCATATCAATGTTCTTATCTGTACAAACCACTGTATGAGTTGTTGCCACCTAATGACTGGAGACTTGTTTATTGTTCACGCTTTACATCAGCGGCACACTTCCAGCATGTCATATTTCACTGGAAGCCTCTCACGCCCAAGCCCCCACACCGCCACCCCCTCCTCGGCCCCTACTGCACCACCTCTCCCCCCTGCCACCCACTGTTTGAGAAGTACTGGATTAAACTCACTTGTTTATTTTTTCCATACAGGTCATCGACTGAGTCACAGGCTAACTATTTCAAATATGGTCCAAGTGTTCAAGCCTTTACTTTGGAAACAGGATCCACTGGTTCTTCTGCAGCTGCTGCTGAGTGTGTGTGTGTGTGTGTGTGAGCGCGTGTGTGTATGTTTGTGTGTTCAGACCCTGTTGGAACTTCTGTTCTCAATCGTCACTTTACATAATAATAACATTTAATTGACCCAGTCTTTTATTTTGAAGGCTCATATATTGGGTTGGATCTGTTTTCACAGATTTCCATATTTATGACAGAGTCCTTTTATAAACACATCTGATTTTTGACCCACTGCAGTGAAGAAAAATGATCTCCAAGTTTGGCATTAACCTATTTATTTTTCTATTTGATTTCTTTCATTGTTGGACTGATGATTCCAGTGTGAGGTGATTGAAGCCCCCTGCTGACCGGCGACGATGGCACTTCCTGTCCCTTTCTTGTCTGACGACCAGTTCACCTGCTCCATCTGCTTGGAGGTCTTCGACAACCCCGTCTCCACGCCGTGCGGACACAGCTTTTGTAAGAGCTGCATCTCCTCTTACTGGGAAGGAGCCGGAGGAGGTGCCAAGACGTACCAGTGCCCCATGTGTAAGGAGTCGTTCCGGAAGCTGCCAGATCTGCACATCAACCACACCCTGAAGGAAATCACCGAGCGCTACAAGGAGGTGACCAAGGAGGTAGCAATGATGGACTCCACTCCACCTCCTTCACTACATCACCTCCAAAGACGCAGCACCCTCACTCTGGTCCAGAAGCCGGGAGAAATGCCCCAGGGCATCTTTACCGAGTTGATGACCCGGTTTCAGCAGCTCAATCCCGCTGAACCTCAGAACCCAAACGAAAACAAAGTCAAAGGTCGTCTGGCGCGCCAATCACAAAGTTTAGACCACAGTCTGGAGCACACAGCTGCGAATAGGTGAGACCTACAGACACACACACACACACACACACACCCTCTAAAAAGTTGCTTTACCAGGGCTGTCAATCAAATTTTAACTCACGGGCAGCATACAGCCTAATTAGATGTCAAGTGGGCCGCAGCAGTACAATCACAACATAATAAATTATACATTTCAATAAATCCATGTTTTTCCCCTTTGTTTTCTAATGCAAAGAAGCACAAGTATATTTAATATTTATTATTATTATTATTTATTCAAATATAATGAAATAATAATTTTACAAAAATCAGCACAAGTATATTTAATATGTTTGTGTATCTTCTTTATTTTCAAAATCCATCAAGCGGGCCGGATTGAACACCCTAGCGGGCCAGTTTTTTGCCCACGGGCCGTATGTTTGACACCCCTGTTCTAGACTTTTTACTGTGCCATAGAAGGAGGGAAGGGCTTTGCTTCTTGACTCGGTTGTTCTTCCAGAGCAAAAAAAAAAAAAAATTAAAAACAGATTGTGCTCAAAGGATTTTGTGCTGTCCAATCACAGACTCTCTCTGTGCAGCGCCGACCCCGCCCTGATGAATGTACCTCTATGTCCAATTCACACGAGAGGCCTGGAATACTTCTGTCGCACCGACAATTCCGTCATTTGCGGTCTTTGTGTGGAAACAACTGAACATTCTGGACACTGCATCCTGCCAGCACAAAGGGAGTGGCTCATCAAGAAGGTGTGTGTGTGTGTGTGTGTTTTGCTTTATTATATATTTTCTCTTAAAGTAGTCATCAGGGTATGGTGATTTTAACTCACACTCACATCCAGCAGCAACGTCGCCCTCAAATGGCCATTTACTGCACTCATTGTTATGTTTAATCCTATTTAGGCAATTTGTAAGAATGAGTGACCTCTGGTGGTGAGATCTATAGACGTGTTATTGTGTTCTTCAGTCCCAGTTGGGAATCCAAGAATTGGAGGTGAAGAATCTGATCTGTGCCCGAGAAAGCAAGGTGGACGAAATCCACAGCTGCATCCAACAAATCCAGGTCAGTTCCTCACTCATTAGGATAGTGGGAGTTGAACCCACAACCTAGAGCATGTCGAAAGATGAAAGTCACACAAGCGATTCTGAATCTTGTGTCATTACTGCCACCTTCTGGCCCTGTGTTCCACTTGTAAATATTCCATTCTGTTGTCTCTGTGGCTCGATCGGTTAGCGTGTTCATCTGTAAACCGAGCGACGACAATCAGTCTGCTGTAGCAGCTCAAATCTCACTACTGTGGTGTAACGGTTATCATGCCTGCCTTACATGCAGAAGGTTCTGGGTTCAATCCTCAGTGGAACCACCTACTTAATGGCATCTCCTGTTGCAGCCCATTGTGGGGCAAAGAAGAGCAGTGATTCTCAACTAGTGGGTCATCACCCAAAAGTAGGCCACATACTACTTTTCTGTGGGTCTGGGGCCTTCATCAAACCAAGAAATGTTGAGAACAATCTGTACCCCAGTTAAGAGTTGACCCCTGACATTTTACACCATAGAAGACAAGCAAACTCAGCCTGCGAAACTGAGATGGCATTTGGAATCAAAAGACCATTTTCTCTAAGATAAATCCCTAGGGTGTTGACTTCAACACTTGAGGACATTCACTAACTCTAAGAGGTTGAAGTGTGGTCATTGCCTTTATGGGGTGTTTATGTCTTTTTCCCCTGGCATCTTCTATCTTCTATAGATTTAAACAAACAGCTTATATAGTTTACTTCATTTCAAGAAATCAGATGTTGATGTTTTGAAATCTAAACCTGAGACGTTGATATTTATCCAGGCTGCTGCAGAAAAAGAAACACAGGAAGCAGTTAGTGCCTTTTCTGCACTGATATCCAGCGTGGAGCGCTGCCAGACTCAGGTCTTAGAGGTAAAAAAACGCCCCGTGACACAGGACAGATTGAGATACAAAAATAAAATGAAATAATATTCTAAATAACTGTACGCGAACAGATGATCGCGATGAACCACCGAGCAGCTGAGCACAAAGCACAGACTCTTCTGAAAGAACTGCAGGACGAAATCTCTGCGCTGAAGGGACGCAGCGACGTACTGAGCGAGTTGGCGGTTTCTGACGACTGCTTCCACTTCCTGAAGGTATCAGTGGAATCAAAGCAAATAAAAGACGGTGAACATGTGGTTGACTTCTCCGCAACACGGAGGCCTTTATGTGTTAAGGTTTCCCGTCACTGTTCTCGTCAGACATAGAACCAGAACCCAAACTGTCAAAGTCAGGTGTGATCACCTTCTCATTCTGCAGATATCCGCTGCTCTGTCGGTTCCTCTTCAGTCCAAAGACTGGACCAATGTCTCAGTGTCAGAACCGAACACAGGGCAGATTCTCAGAAGTGTGGAGTCAGTCGTGGAGCGTTTTCAAGAGGAGGTGAAGAAGCTTCCGGAAATCTGTGAGTCTTCAGCCAGACATTCAACACAATGGGCCAAAGAAATACTCACATGTATATGGCTAGCTAGCTAGTTAAATAGATAGATAGATAGATAGATAGATAGACAGACAGACAGACAGACAGACAGACAGACAGACAGACAGCTAGCTAGCTATATAGACCAGCAGCAGTACCGTTTTCACTGTCTCTGCTCTTCTTTACCAGACCACAGATCCATGACAGAACAAACCGTCAGCAGAGTTATTCCAAGTAGGACCATTGTTTTGTTTTTGTTTTATTTGACTTGACATTCGTCCAAACATTCAAACAAATAAACAGTTCTTCTTCTCCTTCAGAAACAAAGAGGGTTCAGGAATATGCAGGTAACAGTTGTGTTCGTTTGGGTTTTATACAGTTAGCGTCTGTTTTTGCCACTTTCCCACTAACCCTCAGATTTTCTCCTTAAAGCTGACGTCACCTTAGATCACAGAACTGCACATCCTCGTCTGGTCATCTCTGCCGATGGGAAGCAGGTTTTCTGTGGAGACCGCCAGCAGGTGGTACCAGAATATCCAGAGCGTTTTGATCGGGTGGTGTGTGTTCTGGCCCACCAAGGCTTCAGCTCTGGAAGACACTACTGGGAGGTGGGTCAGCGGCAGATTAGATCCCATTTGACCCCAGACCTTTACTTCAGACCCAAAGGGCTCAAACGTTTATGTATCTGACTGGGATGAATGCTTTGGTATTTGATATTCAAGAAATAAAAAAAATGTTAACCATTTTAAACTGCTCCCTCTACAGGTGGAGGTCGGAGGTAAAACCGACTGGGATCTCGGAATTGCGAGCTGCTCTGTTAATCGCAAAGGAAAAATCACTGTAAGCCCCTCCCACGGTTATTGGTTCCTCAGTTTGCGGGACAGAACCGAGTATGCATTCCGCACGGAACCGTCAACCAACATCAGCGTCACTTCCCGGGCGTCCCGGATCGGAGTCTACGTGGACTGTGACAAAGGCCTATTGTCCTTCTACAACGTGGAGGCCCGCATCCTCATCTACACCTTCACTGATAAGTTTCCGGACACCATCCACCCGTTCTTCAGCCCCTGTACGAACAAGTCAGGAAGAAACCAGGCTCCACTCATCATCTGCCCCCCCACAGTGACAGAGTGAGTGAGGTTAAAGGTTAGAGAGTGTTTACGTTTATGAGTGAAGTATCGTGGAACCTTAACAGTGTTCAGTAAAAACCAACCAACCAAAAATAAGTCAATGTCAAGTGAGGCATGGTGTTCTGTTGGAGAAACTATATATTTTTACAAATTGTTGTTTATATCCTTTTGTACATCTCATTATTTCTCATTTCTTCTTTTGGAATCATTTGGCCTCCAACACTGTTGTCAGTCCTTCTGCTAGTTGTCCAGAGTTGTTTGGTGTGTGTACTGTGTACTGTGTACTGTGTACTGTGTACTGTGTACTGTGCTTACTGGTTGTCACCTGTCATATAGTTATTTTCATAGTTCTGTTGTCTATTTATTTTATATTCATTTCCTGGTTTCTTTACACTTTCTGTTTTACTGTAATGGTATCTTTTTGAATTAGAGATAGGGATTAGGATTAGAGTAGGGTTAGGGTTAGGGTTAGATTGGGATTAGAGTTAAATTAGGAGTTAGGGTTATGGTGAGGTTTAAGAATAGGTTTAGACTAGTGTTAGGGTAGTAGTAGATTAGTTAAAAAATTGGGTTAGGATTAGGGTCATAAGGGTTAAAATTAGGCTTTAACAATAGGATTAAGAGTTGAGGTAGGATAAGGGTTTAGGGTAAGATTAGAGATAAGATTTGAATTAGATTATGGAAAGTTAGAGATTACATTTTTCTCTACGTGACTCTATATTTACGTTTATCAAAAGTATCATTAAAAGTATCATTAAAAGTATTATTAAAAGTATCATTAAAAGAATCATTAACATCTGTAGGGGCTTCTTTCATGTTCTAGAGATGTAGATTTGGGAGTTTTGTAAAAAAACAAAAAAAAAAAAAAAAACAGGAACTAATAAGCAAATGTAATTGTAAAAAAACAAAAAACAAAAAAAAATACAAGAACTAATAAGCAAATGTAATTTTTTTAAATTCTTAAATTAGGATGCAGAGGCTGCTAACAAAACTGTATTTACAATTTGAGAATAAATTAAATTGTACTATTAGCTTTATTATTTTGTAGAATCTTGTGTACTAGAACGCTTTCGATCTTTTCAAATTTTTTCATATCTGCCTGTAGGTTTCCCGGTTTTCTTTTGACTTTTGCCGTGACCTTAGAAATTGAAAAGAAATTGCTGTCGTTACTACTGTTGTTACTGTTTTTGTAAACCATTGTTTTTGTTGTCTTCTTGTCACTGTTGTTGTTGCTTATGTTGTTACCAGTTTACTACGGATGTCAGTGCTTTTACATTAGGTCTCCCTTGCCAATGAAGTCACAGCACAACACACTAGATAAAATAGTCATTTTACTGATGTTTACAAATTGTATTTATGTATAATGATGCATTCATGATCACATTTAACAGTTTAAATCCATTATAATTTGATTTAAATGTTTTTGATACTTTAACTCCCAATAAATAGTGACTTAAGTCATCAAAAAAAAAAAACACATTTGCATTACATAAGTTTGTTTGTCTTTGGTGCTTCTTTAAGTCATTATTTCCTTTTAACATCAGTCCTTTCAGGAGCACCCCCCCCCAACCCCCAACAAGTGATGCCCTATTTGATAAGGTTAATAGCGAAGGGTTAGGGTTAGGGTTAAGAATAGGGATAGGACAATAGTTTTATATGAAAGATAGGGTTAGAATCACGGTTAGGATTATAAGGGTTAACATTAAGGATTAGGGTTAGGTTTAGATTAGGGTTAGGATTAGGGTTAGGGTTTGTTAAATTTTAGGTTAAGGGTTAGGGATAGAGTAAGGGTGAGATTAAGATTAAAGATAGGGTAAGGATATGGTGAGGAATAGGGCCAGGATTAAGAATGTGGTTCAGTCTCCTATGATAAAATGGAGGGTTTATAATGATGGATTAGGGTTAAGGTAGTGTTAGGGTTAGATTAGGGCTAGGTTTGGGAAAGGATTAGGGATTAGGGACCAAAAGTAAAAAGTACCATATTTTGGGATATGAAAATGTGTGCACCCATTGTAATTCTAAAAATGTCCCAGAAGATTTTATGTTGATAAATATGGTGTATTTTTAATCATGAAAATCCATTAAACATTAAAAGAAATGCTCCTACATATTAAACAAAATGCTATAAAGTAAATAAATACAATGTCTTGTTCATGTTATATTAATATTAACAAGACATTTTCCATATATACTTACATAATATAGCATTAATATAGATTGCATGATGAGGTAGAGCAGAGTTTGTTTTACAATTGCTATTGTATAACAAATTAGTTACAATAACAACAAAAACGTTCAAGAGCATTTTGCCTTCAACTTAAAACCAGGAATTCAGTGGGAAAAAAAATCACAAAGAAATGTATTTTCAATTCAATGATATTTTATTCATTTTTTTATGTGTACAAGAAAAACACAGGATTTTGTTGTGCATTAAATGTACATAAAGTTGAAGAAACACAAGGATCAGACTGATGTGTCCACACAACAAAAAACACCTCCAACGATAAAACTCTTCAAAACTATCTCTGCATTCATTTGTGTCCGTGACTCGACGGTAGGTTTGCCTCAAACAAAGTTGTCTGGTTGTTCCTTCTGCAGGCCTGTCTCCCTGGTCGTTAGTTAATGACAAACACCTGTGTCCTGTGTGGCTCGTTGGGCCTCACTCGTCACACCTGGTTATATAAACCTTGTTGTTTGTTTGTGGGGATTTTTGATGTGTTCTGTTCTCTGCATATACTATTTCGCTCCCCTGTGTTCTCTGTTAGTTACACTTTATATATTTTTATCAAAATATAACCAGTCGTTTAATAGAAACTGTCTAAAAGAGAGCATTTTATTATGTATATAAAACAGCACCCTCCCAGTTGTTACATGGTGAATAAGCATTTTAAACATGTGGCTCTCAGCCTCTTGACTGGTTGGCCACCCCTGCAGTAGTAGGTGAAGAACCCCTCTTTCTGTGCTCTGCCTGGTTCGACTCACCATGGATTGTATTTCAAGATGAAAATATTTCTCAAAACTGGACTTCTGGTCCAAACAGAAAGTGATAAGTGATGGAAGACCAACGCCGGAGCTAAAAGGTTAGCTTCAAACTGCGGGACAGAAGAGTAGTTTTTTTCAAATGGAGTGGTACAAACGAAAAGACTGTGTAGATGTCCTGTAAGAAACCGCCATTACTGCTCTTCTCGTCTTTTATGCTCATCGTGTGATAACGTCTGGACTAACTCGGGATACTGTGACCTGAAAATTTTCCAAAGAAGCCTCAGCAGACATGAAAGACCAGCCACGTAAATTCAAAGCCAGATTTCTTTAAAAACTTTTGGAAATTCAAGGATCGATTTGGCATTGGATGAGCAACGGAATCTAAACATTAGCGCCACAATGCTAAGGTGAGGGAAAACCGACAGACACGACCATGGACTTCATCTCTAAGTAAAGGTAAGGCCAAAAATGGTTTTACGTTTTTGTTTTTTAAAAATAAGATGGGATAAAAAGTATTTGATAACTAAATTTTTGGCCTAATTTTTTTTCTTATCATTTTGATAGACAACATTTGATTAAAGTACCAGAATCTAAAGTTTGAAAAATAATTGCATTTTTTTTTACTGATGGTCAAAATTACATTTGTGCTGCACTCATTTCTATACTGGTGCTCTATCCATTTGTATAAAAGAAATGTTCTTTGTCGGACAAATATGTTCCTGTGTACATGTTTGTGTTGCTGTCAGTGTCATTGAAAGAGGAATGCTGATGGATATGAAGCATTACCAGGTGATGCTGTTGGATGAATAGTGATTAAGATGCTCTTTTCGGTTCTCACAATTGTAAATCTGACTCCAGAGGAGTCAGTGCCTCACCAGCCACGAACCTCATCATCATTGGTATATACCATACAGTATATCCCTTATTTTGGCCGGTTTTCATAATTGTTTGTGTTTGCATTTGCATATTTAAAAGTTCAGTTCTAACACTTTGCGACTCCTTTGATTGAAGTGAAAACATGTTGTTACTGGTTCCAAAGATTTCACTTTTAAGTTCATTAACGTGTAAACAGACCACAGCTTTGATCGTTGCTCTTTACATGTCAGTTGTACTTTACACTCACAGTGGACACACTGAAGGGACTCTCCATCACTTGAGGTTAAAGAAGAGCTGAAGTACAGACAAAGTATTTTACACAAGAAGAACAAAAAAGAAAAAATTAGAATCCCGGTGCATGTGGAGTTCGGTGCAGCGGGATGAAGTTTGGTGAAGAGTTAGCGAGACATCATCCGGACAAACTCTGTGTGAACGTGACAATTGTTAGTGCAAAATCAAAAAACCAACGGTCATTGACTTGATCCTGACATTTACTGACCTTCAAAGTCCACCTGTCCGTCTCCGTTGAGGTCTACATCTCTGAGGATCTCGTCAATCTCTCTGTGATTGAGCTGCTCTCCCATCAACTTCTTCATGGCTTCTCTCAGCTCCCCCAGGCTGATCTGCCCATCGCCGTTAGAATCAAACTGGGCCACAAAGTGGGAGGAAAGAAAATCCAATGTATTTTAGATGTAGGTGGGACAGAAGAACGAATCGTGCCTTCAAAGAAACTGTAACATTGAAAACCTCTTTGAAAGCATCTCTCAGCTCCTTCACTCCAATCATGTCTGCAGTTTCAGCCAGCATCTTTGGACCCATTAACTCCACAAAGTCCTCAAAGTCAACTCTACCGCCACCTGCAGGGCAATCATGTTAGTGCACATACATAACATGTGGTTTTTATTGTCAGATTTATTCAGTTTCAGGGATAGGAATGAAATGGGTTTCTTTTGTGGAGCATCACTTTTGCAGCCACGTGACCTCCATCCATTATCTACGTATATTCCATATTTTTCTCTTCATTCCTTTTTGTGTTTGTGAATTCTGAGAACTTACCGATTTTCTGGCTGAGTTCGATGAGCTCCATCTCGGTGGGCATGTAGCCCATGGTCCTCATGCACTCTCCCAGATCCTTACAGCCGATGAAGCCGTCCCTGTCTTTGTCAAACTCTTTGAAGGCCTCACGCAGCTCTGCAAGGTTGAAATAAAAGTCATTAGTAATTTAACACAAAGATATATTTAGTTAACAATTTAATTGAGATGATTTTTTTTTGTACCTTCCAGTTCCTCTGGTCGTAGATCTCTGTCCTGGGGTGAAAGTTGACAGAAACAAAGAAATGAAAAGTTTTTGAGAAATTTGAGAAATATCAAATGGTGATTGTTGTAGTCTTCGCTGTAGTTTTTCTGTTTTCGCTGATTAAAAACTCTGTAACCAACACCTCAGCTCAAAACTCCATACACATTTGAGTTGGACCTCGCCACAACAGGATCCTCCTCCTCCGACGTTGGATCGGCAAATTCCGTGGCACAAAAAAATAGTCGTATTTCCTACCTAACTTTAACAAGTACAGATATGAATTTGTTAATCATCAATATACTGCAACTCTGATAGATTGATAGATATTCTAGATATAAAAAAATAGTCCATGAAAGTATAACCATATTAGGCACACACACTTCGACAGGCGACATA